GAAGAATCTTGAGTACCATACATTGAATAGGAATTAATTGGCCAACATTTGCATAGCATGCATTGAAATTCATATGCATTGCATAGCATACACTACTTTCAGAAAAGTATAGTGTATAAATTCAACAAGCAAGGGTGTTCCAACATCCCACATAAAAAAGGCAGATATGAAGATATTTTGCAAATTTGAGAAAAAACTTATCAGATAAGTTCCTAATCCTTGAAATAGGATGTCTTTTGGTATCAGGATTGATTTGTAAGACCTTTGGGCATAATCTCTTGAAATTCCTTCAAACACAACTTTCAACTCCTTTGGACATGATTGTCAAGGAGCAATTTACTTTTCAAAGTCGTGGTGCCTCTGTTTAAAGGAGCAATTTACTTTCCAAAGTTTTGTTGCCTCTGTTTAGAGGAGCAATTTACTTTTCAAAGTCGTGGTGCCTCTTTAGAGGAGCAATTTACTTTCAAAGTTGGTGCCTCTGTTTAGAGGACCAATTTATTTTTCAAAGTCGTAGTGCTTCTGTTTAGAAGAGCAATTTACCTTTCCAAGTCTTGGTACCTCTGTTTAGAGGAGCAATTTACTTTCAAAGTCGTGGTGCCTCTGTTTAGAGGAGCAATTTACTTTTCAAAGTCGTGGTGCATCTATTTAGAGGAGCAATTTACTTTCAAAGTCGTGATGCCTCTGTTTAGAGGAGCAATTTATTTTTTCAAAGTCGTTGAGCCTCTGTTTAGAGGAGCTTTGATCAAAAACAAAAAAAAAACAAAAAAAACAAAAAAAAGTAAAAAGGTCGAGTTGAGATTTGATTAGGTATCTATGTCTTTGCGTAATTTCTGTTTCACAGAAAATGTGCAAAGAGGGGCAGCTGTAGACACCTAATTTGGTCCAGGCCCGGATCAATTGGGCCTGGTCCAAATTGGTAAGTCTGTATTTTTTTTTCTTTTTCTTTTCATTTTATTTTTATATTTTTAATTTATTTTTATTTTTATTTTACATTTTTATTTTATTTTTATTTTTATTATTATTATTTTATATATGTATATATATATTTTTTCTTTTATTATTATTATTATTTTTTTTTTATCTTAGATTTATGTATTTATTAATATGTATATATCTTTATTATTTTTTTTTTCTTTTTTTTTCTGTTAATATTTATGTAATTATCTGTTATTTAATTTTAATTTATCTGATTTATTTTCGTTTGATTTTTTTTCTTTGATTTTTTTTATTTATCTGGCTGGAAATTGGATTGGGATTCAATCAGAAGAGTCCATGTTGGATTCAATGATTGAATCTCGATCCAAAGAGGAATTGGGATTGATCAGAAACTTCTGATCAATCCCTATAAAAGGGACCCTCTGGAACAGAACAAAAGATCAAAAACCAGTGAGCAAAAAGCTACTGATTTGAGAGAAAAGAGGCGTATAGAAGAGTATAGGAGGCTAAAAAAAAGTTTAGAAGTGTTCTGAGAGTTAGCAGAAAGTTTTAGAGATTTTTGGTGATTTTTTTATGGGAATTTCTGAAAAATTCCAATTTGGTTGAATTTTTCGACGAAACTTGCATTTTTCGACCACGATTCCGGCCAACTTTGAAGTTTTCGACGAGCAGTCCAGTTTTTGACAAAGGATCCAGAAATCAACCAACTTTTCGGTGAACTTTCGACAAAAAACCTAGATTCTGATGAAACTTTCCAGAATCCGATGAATATTCAACCAGAGTTTTTCGACCGTTTAAAGAGAAATGAGAGGAAAAAAGAAGAAGAGAGAGAGAGGGAAGGAGCTTTCTGTCGAAAAACAGAGGGAAAAGCTTTATATACCCTCTCAAAACGACATCATTTTTATCTTAAGTGACCCAGAAGATTCGCGCGTTTTGTCGAGATCCAACCCGACCCGACCGTCGACTCGTTTTCTGACCCACGCGTGTCTTCCCCCCTCCGAGCCGATAGTCGAGCCGAGCCGAGATCCTAAGCCACTTCTCCGAGTCGTTTTCTCTTCCTTGAACTAAGCCGAGCCGAGCCGTACTCCGAGCTGCGCCAGGTTATTTATTTATTTTTATTTATTTTTTTTCTTTCTATTTATTAGATTATGTTTATTTAATATTCTTTTATCTTTATTTTATTTTTGTTTTACTTTTCTTTATTCATTTATTTTTTTTTCTTTTCACTTTTATTTTGCTTTATTATTCTATTTTCTTTAAATAAAAATAAAAAAAAATATTTTAGGGGAAAAGTTGAAAGTATCAATTTTCTTTGAAAATAAAAGTTTCCAAAAAAAATTTTTGAGGAAAAGTTGAAAGTATCAATTTTTCTTGAAAATCAAAGTTTTCTAAAAAAAAATATTTTTGGGAAAAAGTTGAAAGTATCAATTTTCCTTAAAAATAAATTTCCAAAAAAATATTTTTGGGGAAAAGTTGAAAGTATCAAATTTCTCTGCACAAGAATAATCATCCTTTCCTTCCTTTTTATTTTGATTTTGATTTTGATTTTTTTTCTTTAAATAATCCGACAACGAAGCTTCTGCAAGTGAAACAGTAGTTTTTCTTGCATACTCTTGAGGTGAGGGAATTTTCTCAATTTTTGCTAAAAGTAGTAGAGTCAATTGAGAATAATTTTTAATAATTAATTACTTTGTAAAATTTTAAGGCTTATTGGATAACATAAATTTAAGCTGGTACCATCTTTTGATGGGCGTTGTGAGGGTGCTATAACCTTCCTCACACGTAACCAAACTCCTGAACCCTGTTCTGGTTAGTAGACCTGAACCTATTCTTTTAGGGACCTTTAAACTTAGGTGTTCCCTGGAAGGACAAATTCCTAAGGTGGCCAATCGCACCTAGATAAAAAAGATTGGCGGCGACTCCCTTAAAGTCAATGTCTAGCGATAGATCCCCGGATCTAGATGTTATGACAATATGTTTTCGCTCCAGCCTTCACTTTTTACCATAGAAGTATCAATTGGCTTATAGTCTTGCATACTAAATCATTCAACAATTGTTTTAATAAATTACTCTTGTGAAAGAGAACAATTTCTTGAAACGTTCTCACTTGATTCTTAAACAAAGTATGTAAGCTGCTTTTACACATCTTTCATTTCAAATTTGAAGACAATCAATTTTCACCATTGTGAAATACTTTTTATCATTTCTAGCCAATAGTATGTCATCCACATAAAGTGATAAGATTATAAGTTCGTCTATAACTTTTTTAACATATGCACAACGATCTTCATCAATTATGATAAATTATATAAAATTATTATTTGATGAATTCTAATGTACCATGCCTGAAAGACTTTTTAAGAGCATAAAATGATCTTAATTATCTGCACACTTTTAGACGCACTCATCATAGACTTTGGATGAAAAGTTGGAGTCCAATCCTTCTTTGAATAAGGAACTTCGTTGCCTGGGGGAACCTCACAAAGTTTGATGGAAATGCTGCTCACCTAGATGCCGTGCTGGTGCATATGTTCCACGTACATTATTTATAGATGATAATTGTTGGTAAATCTCTAACATCTAGATAAAGTACCAAGAGTTATTTCCCTTGGAATGTTATTTTAGTTTTATTTCCAAATCCATATTTTTTGAATAACATTTTCCATAAAAAATATTTTTATGCAAAAAAAAAAATGATGATGTTACAATTAACAAATAAATGGTAATAATTAAAAGATATAAGCATGTGAAATGAATGCAAACAATAATCTAATGTAAAGATATGCAAATGGATGTTATGCATGATGTTGAGATTAAATTTTGAAATTGTGTTCTTAAATATAAAAAGCCCACCCGGACTCTCTAATCTCTAGACAAAGTCTAGTACAAATATTTTATATTTAAAATCTTGCTTTTATTTTTTCTTTGTTTGATCTTATTTTTTTTTATTAAGAAATTATATGAAAAACTTAATAAAATAAAATTTTCTAAATATCCTATTCTCTAGATGACATTTAGCATATGAGATTTTCATACGAATCCTTCGAATTTTGGGATGGCTTTGGGTGTGGACATGGGTCAAGGTTTTTTGGGTTTTAACTTCTTGGAGATGGATAATTTGGGATTTGGGGTTTGACTTATGGCTTAGGGTTTGGATCAAATTTAGGGTTAAATGTTAAGTTTAAGATTTAGGGTTTGAGATTAAGAGTTTAGGGTTCATCTTATGTATCATTATAAAGAGAAATTTTAAAAATTTTCTTATATATCGAAAAAATAAGTTATCTTAGTAAGGGTCCATATCAACAAATTTTATTTAATAACCATGCATACTGTAATATATGTATATATGTATATTGTAATATATATGTATATATTATATGACTTTGAGTAGATATGATAATTTTTATATTTGAATCGTGTGTATGTTATGTCAAACACATATATTATAAAAATTATTATATTACATTTCGTGTCAAGTATAGCAAACAAGAAACACAATTTTTTTGGGTGGCGTTTGGGCAACGCCATGTACTTTGACATTAAATTCAAAGGTAAGAATCATCAGGCTAAGCTTAAAATTGACATGCATTGTCTTAATCATCAGGCTAGCCTGTACTTAGCTTTGCTTCAATATCTTACTCTCCCTATTCTCACAAGTCTCATCATCTATGAAAAATTTTGTATTATTGCTTCAAACAATATGAAATCAATAATATAGATTCCCCAGAACAATCCAGATTTCCTAGCAATATTCATAAAATTATTCTTACGAAAATCAAAACTGCAAACAGAACAAATCAAACACCATAAATATGCAGGGTATCTGTTTAGCACCAATTCACAGAATGACCTTTCTCTTAGTATCACTATCTCTCCTTTCAAAAAAAGCCAGACAACCAGAAAAAACAAGAAGAAAACAACAGCACAATAAAAATACAAAAAACTAACCCCAACATATCCCAAACATTCTGCCAAACAAAAATGGAAATTAAGCCTGCAGGATGCCCTGAAGCCATAGAAATCAAGAGATGTTGCCCTTAGAGTGAAGTTATATTTGTTGTTTTTCACATGCTTCTCATCCTATAAGATCGTCTAGTCCTTACTGAATGAGGTTTCCTGCCAAAGCTTGGACGATTTGGACCAGATTTCTCTGAAAAGTCCTTATTGTATGAATTTACCATGTTTGATTTTCCTTCTAATGTATGTTTTACCTTATCTGCTTGAGCTTTTTGCAGGCTAGAAGAATTCTTCTCTAAACTCAACTTCTCTTGGCACTTCAATGGCGCAGTAAAGTTGCCATTGCTTGATTCTAAACTCAAACCATGTAGTAACTTCTCTAATTCTGTTATCTTGTATCTCTCTTCAGATTCTTCGTGATGGCTGTTATTCTTGTTATCAGATATTTCTCCACCTCCTTGTTTAGAGCTCAGAATCCCTCTAGCATTCATTTGGTACGGATCATGTCCAGTATTACCTTTCTTATTTTCCTTCCAAGTTGCACTGCCATCAGTCTTACGTCTAAATTTTGATGATTCGTTAACATCGGATACATTAGTTTCTTGAGTGGAAGAGCTTGGAAAATTAGGATCATTCTGATGAGGTCGTGCTAGTTGCACAGCAGCTCTTGCAGCTTCTGCTGCATCAGCTGCAAATTTATATGCTGCTTCAGCTGCACTCTCTGCATCTCTATACTTTTTCCTAGCATTCTTTCTTTCAGATGATTTTTCATACAGCTTCATCTTAAAAGCCAAATTTTGGTTGGCATCTTCAAGCTTGGCATTCTCTAAGTTAGCCGATATTTGGGGCTTGCCCTCATGTTGCCTTTGCTGTTTATCTGCATCAATTTTCTTCTGCAATTATCAGAGATAGAAGTTTAAAACTATACTTAATTTACTTAAAAAAAAATTTCATCATTCACACCATTCCAAATAACAGTTTAACCGTTTCCATGTACAAGTAAAATCATACATCAATAGTGATGATGCTAGCTAACACTATCAATTATGTGATATTTTCTTACATCAAAGATCCAAGAAGATCCTCCCTCAAACAGATTGCTGATATCATGCATAGGAGCAACTTCCTTCAGCATTTTCAGTTTGCTACCCAAGCTTGGTCTTCGAGTGGATAGTTTCTTTACGATCTAGAAAAGCCAAAAATATATCAATCATGGTGAAAGAAAGGCTGCTTCTGATAAAAATTTGCAACGCTGAAAACTGTGGTTTCCTACCTTACCTTAGGATTTACTCCACAGTTGTTGCGAAGTTCGACAGCACAAGTCTCAAGTTCCTTCCCATATCTTGATGTGAATAGCCCACGAATCTTTTGTAGCTCTGGCAATTCTCCACACCTTGGAGCTGCAAAGATCAGACTTGATATGGCTTCCTTGAGCTCATCAGGACATTGTCTGAATAAGAAAACAGGCAAATGTAACGAAATATAAGAAAGTTCAAGAAATTTTTAAAATCTAGCACAGGAAAAACTGAAAAAGGCAAGACAATGTAACGAACTTGTTATTCTTAAGGATAACAATCCTCTCCATCAGTAGATTGAAGTAGTTTTCAATCATAACATAGGCATCCAACATGTTTTGCTCCCTGATGACATGTTCAACCTGATAAGACACCAAGATAAACTCAGTACAAAATAAAGAAACAGACTATATGACAAAAAGATAATGATGATGAGGGGTTTTGATATGAAATTACACGAAGCAGAGCTCGTTCTTTCTGGCTAAGGTTGAGAAGCTGAACAACGTCAGACCTTGCTTGTTGACATCGAACTCGATGCTGCTTCTCAAGGAATGCTATCCTTGAGATTGCAAGATTAACATAAGTTCTGAATTTGGAAGCCTTAAAGTTTCTTCCCAGCAAAGCGTCAAGTTTCTTTCCCATAATTGTTTTCCCAGCCTGCAATGCAAGCTAAAAACGTTGGGGGTTATATATTTGGAAATTCATTTACCATAAATCAATTTAGATTATGACTGGTCTTTACAGAACTTTATCATCATTGAAACTGACATTTGTTTTTGTAAATGCGACTTTGCACAATTATAGAAAATGACTTCATAACCTGAAAAGTAGAGTAATGCATAAGCAGAGCTTTAAATTACTCAAAAATGTAGTCAACTACTTTTTCTTCTTCAATGCAAATGGTGTTTTGTTACAACTCTTCAAAAATGATGTCATTTTACTGGCGAAACAAACCACTTTAGTTATGAAGAAGCTGCTAGTCATTGAAATGGAACAGTTTCTTCTTGATGCAACCATGCAAATTCAGAGGCTAAGGTCCGTGAGTATTCAAGTCCATGTCCATTTCAATCATCACCAGCACAGCTTGGGGTATTGGGAATCTATAAGATTATCAATCTTCTAATTAAGGCTTTGACATTTGCTTCCAGGGCTTTAATTAGTGGGGGTGGAGTGGCATAATTAGCTTATCAATTACCAATTATTTGCCTTGTTTACAAAAATTGCACTTTATATCACCCGAAATATGTGATGATTACTCTTCAGCAGGAGAACATAAAATTTGAAATTCCAAAGAAACGGAAACAATTAAAACAGAAGAAACAGTGCCCACAATTTCTTTCTTGGAGCTGCTTTGAATATGAAGATTGTCTGCTTGAACAAGCAAAGCCATGCTATAAAGACCAGAAAGATCCTTTTCAACGCCTTTAATTAATAAGGAAAAGGAAATTAGATCATTTTATTTAATGCAGACATCAATCCAATTTACATTCCCACTCAAATTTTACAATGACTTTAGTGAAAAATCCCCATAATATCAACATCTTCAGCTTTTTTTTTTTTTTTTTTTTTAACATAAGAGTGTAAGATGCTACCTTCAACCTTAAGGTCCTAGGCTTTTCCACCACTAAAATGTCTTCTCACATAAAATTAATAACTCCTGCACAAAATTAATAACCACTGATGGTGGTGGATCATCAAACACATGATCTATAACTCGACTATAAGTTCAACTAGCCATAAAATTAGCAAAGAAGTTAGCCTCGTAAAAATATACTAAAATATTCCACAATAACAATATCTACTAAGAAATTGTTGACATTGATAAATAACATAATAATAGGGATCATTTGCACGAATAATTCCTATGATCTTCTTCACTGTAAAAAACGAGTCAGATTCAATAATCAATCTTCAAAGTTCTCTCTCCCAAGCTAAAAGTAAGTTTCATCTTAATAACATACAACTCAGCTTGGAGATAAAAAAGTAAAAATAAAAAGAGGCTTTACTTCCAGAGAGCTAGTTAGACAAGTATGTATTATATCAATCTATGTCAATTAATTTGTAGATTAGATACTCGTACAAATTAATCATATATCAGAAACAAGATTTGAACTGGTGACACAAAGATTTTCAATCCTTTGCTCTACCACGTAAGCTATCCTGGCTATTACCGACGCATTATGCTCATAATACTAGAAGATTTGGGTATTAATTAAAAATAAAAAAAATGAAAAACTATTAAATTAAAGTCTCAAACGGACAAAGAGTGAAAGTGCTCCGAGGTAGAATCCTGAAGCCAACAAGTCCACAACAAACCTGAATCGTCTTAGTCCCTAAGTAGGTGCAAAGTTGATTCAACTTGGTTCCCACATCTTGACAACTAGCTGAGTTGGATAATCCCCAAGCCACATAGGCCTTCATTGTAAGTAACCTGTTGTGCATTACTAACCAAATAAAGTGTATAGCTCAAGGCGGCACACCCAACTTTCAAATTTTTAACCAATTAACATTGGTCTTAGTTCACCTAACATCTAATTATATGTCAAAGATACAGAAAACAAATCATTCGAAGCAGCAGACCACACCAACCGATCTTCCTTATCATGAGTCAATTTAAATAAAGACAACTATTCTTTAATCATCTCATGCATAATGCTAATTCGATCCCGATCCCAATCACCACTCGTGCTCACATAATCACTAACACAATGCATGTCATCAATATCAAAAGGATCTCGGTTGCATCTTACCTTCAGGGTCCGGCTACCCACTTGTCACACCAGAAGGAAGTTTGGTTTTCATTAAACACAGGTTGCCCATATCCTTGAACTCCTAAATCTTTGCCCTATAGAATGCTTCTTCAAGTATGTAAAGAACTAGGTTTTTTCGAGGCCTTGAGAAAAGGAACACCTTTAAGATATTTAGCCCTTAATACCCTATCCCATAAACCATTGTTCCTTTCAGCAAGTCACTATCCAAGTTTAGCAAATGATGCCTTATTCATGTCCTTGGTCTTTTGAATACCCAAACCTCCTCCCCAGGTTGACAAATACTGTCCCATTTAACTAGTACCATTTTTTCTTTATACCTTTAGATCCTACTCACAAGAAATTCCTATTCAAAGCATCAATCTCTTTTGCTACAAATACAGGTAGTTTTGCCATCTGCATGGTATAGTTGGCAATAGTATTGGTGACAAACTAAAACAACACCACTCTATCAGCCAAGGACAACTATTTTTCCATCCACGAACTTAGCCTATTCTTCACCTTTTCCACTAAGCTTTTGTATGTCTACTTAGAAACCCTGGATGAATGGATCAAAACTCCAAAAAAAGTAACAAAATCATAACAATGTTGCATCCTAGTAATAACCGTAAACTCGTCTATTTGAATCTTTAAAACATTGGCCAAAGTAAAAAAAAAAAAGAAAGAAAGCTTTGATTTTCCAAAGTTCACCTGCTTACCTGAAAAAGAGCAAAACCGATTCAAACTGTCCACAATAACAGTGCACTCTTCAAACGACGCATCCCCAAAAAGAACCAAGTTGTCCACAAAGAAGACATGTGAAATTAGAGGTCCACCTTATGATATACAAACCGATTTCCATCTTTTGTCCCTAATCGTAGTGTCAATAATATTAGAAATTACTGTAAGTATAATACGAAGAGATAAGGAGATAGTGGATCACCTTGACGCAAACCTTTAGTTGGCTTGAAGTAAGAGATAAGTTCAGTATTCCAAAGAATGCTCATCTCTGTAGATATAACACAGTACATGATCAGTGAGATAAGGGGTGATGGCAAGCCCAAATTTACTAACTCCCATCCAAGGAAGTCGCAATTGATACGATCATAAGCTTTGTCAAGATCAATTTTCATCATACTACTACTAGCCTTCCATTTTTTCTTTCCAAAGGAATGCACTGCCTCCTGAAGAACCACAATATTGTTTGTACCACATTGCCTAAGAATAAAGCTACACTGGGTAGGAAAAAATAATGTCCTCCAAAAAGGATTGCAAACGACATAATAATTTTAGAGAATAATTTCACGAAAATATTGCATAAACTTATAGGCCTAAAGTTTGCAACCATTTCTAGTGGCTCAAATTAGGAATAAGTACTAATAAGACCTTGTTACACAGGTGTCAAAAGTCCTTGTCAATAAGGCTTGCTTTATAAAGTTACAAACCAAAGTCCATACAACATCTCAGTTTACCTGAGAAAAATCCGTCTAATAACCATCTAAACCAGGAGCTTTACATGGAAAAGAGGTTATATGAACCTCCTCCTCTTTTGGTACTTATGCAAGAATGCCAACTTGACAGGCAATAAATTGAATCTTGGCTCCTAGGCAAAGTTCTTCCATAAAGCCAACTGAAGATTCAGACTTTTGTAAAGAATTCCGTGACATTTTTTTCAAACTTTTCTCATCCAAACACCAAACCCCATTCTCTTATTTCAAAGATAGAATACAATTTCTATTTCTTCGTATTACAATTGTTGTGTGAAAGAATTTAGTGTTTTGATCACTATGTTAGAAATTTCTATAAGTGGACTACTATTAATTAACGATTTTGATTTAATAAAATCGGTTGATGAATTTTGTTCTAATACGAGATAAGCATAAGAGCTTAATTAATTTAATGTGATCACCAAAGTATGGGCTTTGCACCTCTATTGGGTCAATGTGGTATGGTGGTTAAGTAGGCCTTTGGTTCGGTAAACCTTTGATGGGTAGATTCATAGGGTTATTTAATTAACAAGGCTAAGGTCCCCTCTTCACTTCTTATATATGGTAATTACCCATTTGAGAAATCGCTAATAAGAGAAAAGAGTGAAGTGGAAGACCATAGCCATTTCAGAGATTGTTTTGCTTTTGCGAATTCATGATGACTACCCAAACATGTATGTCTAATCTCTTTAATTAATGTATGATATTCTAATTTTCACATAATGATCTTGGGTTACTGCTTACATTTAGTGCACAATTGTATGAAATTAGGACCCTAATTTTATGTTAATTTAATTATTTTTTGTTGGAATGCTTGTTTGGGATGAATAAGTTGTTGCCAGAATTTTTTCATTTCGATCATTATTTTCTGAAATTAGTTGAGAGCTTTTGTTCCTCTTAGAAAGAGGATTAAAAGTATATAAAGATTGTTTTCTAATTCCTTGTATGGAGAGAGAAATCAAGATTCAAAGTTTTTGGTTACAACTTTGATCAAAATTCTTGTTTTATTTATAACATCAACATGTTATGTGTTTAATTTGAAATTGATCCTTGGCTAATGTTTCCAACATATTTTAAACTTGAATCAAAGAGTTTAATTTCATAAAATGTTGGTGTAAGATGATCAAATATAAAGAGAACAAAAGCAGGTTGAATAAAGGTTTGTAGAATCCAAAGTTTTTATCAATTGATCCTGTTTTGTTGTTTTTTGATGCATTTTTTGGGTTTGATAGAAAATCATTTTTAATTAAATTTTGGACATTTCAATTTGTTGAAAAATCCATGAAAAATGCATCAAAATTGAAAAAACCACCAATAGACCCAAACGGGTCAAAAAAATTGGTCCAATTAGGTCAACCCAACTGGAAGAAGAAGAAGACCTCCATGATACTTGTAAATCCTATGCACCATTTTTGCTCCAATTTTTTCTAACATGCTCAAAATATTATTTTTGATTTTTCTATG